CTGCATTCAGATACATGAATACCATTATTATTGCCAATTGCATTTTCATGAGCTAACTGTCTTTCGCATCGCGTGTGAAAAGTTACAAACAACAAAGACAATTGCCAACGGTTAATGTTAATATCGAGGCAATTATAAAAAAGTAATTTGATTGTCTGGCTTACGCAAGGCCAACTACAATTACCAACAACAACTGCAACAAAACAAATCACATAAAAAACAACACAGAAATCCCAATTTGGATTTATTAATAGCGCTGAAAAAATAAAAAACAACAGTCGTTGCCGTAAATAACACAACAAATGTAAGTATTTCCGTGCCTAAAATAACAAAAAAAAAAAAAGAAAATTAAGCGACCCGTCTGTGTCCCTCCGTTTCTGTGTGCGACTGTGTGTGTGCCCTTCTATAAATAAATAAAATCAAATTAAATGCAACTAGTTGTGTGTGAGGCACAATATGCTCGGATAAATTACAGCAATTTCGTTTTTGCGCCGTTGCCTCTGTTGAAAATTGCCCCCATAGCCGGGGCTCGAACCAAATTGCAGCCAGGCTAGCAGGGACGCAAACCATCTCCCAGACTATCCCATGTTGTTGCGTTTATTTCGGTCACGTCTCATGATTATACTTTCTCGTTGCGATCCAGCTAAATATAGAACGATCGTCCAACGGCTGGCCGCATAACAACGCAGAAAATGTATTTATTTATTTATTATGATGCCAGGCCAGGCCAGCAGACGCCGAGGCAGTCATGTGCCTAGCCAAAAAGATTTTTGCATATTTGCCAAAAATCGTGGAGACAATGTATAGTATACCCTATAGACAGTATTCCCCCATGTGTAGGAGACAATTAACGTTCCGCTTCCAATTCCGAATAATTCGCACATTAAAGCCATTTAATTGTCCAAGCCCAAAACAATTGAAACTACACAAAGATGACGCACTGATCACTCTCCGATCGACGGCCTCGGTGTGTTTATGGTGCTTTCAACCGGATTTCAGCGGTTGTGGACTTGGTCCGCACTCCACCTTCAGTTGCCCCACGAATAGTTGTTAATTTTAGCCAAGAATGTCGTCCGAGTTGCTGCGGAAAATGTGATATATATATAGCAATATCCATTTGAATGATCTGCTCTCCAGTCCAGAAGCTGGTAAACTTGGTACAGTCGACAGCTCTGACATTTGAGTCACCACGCACACCTGTACAACAAGCTCGTTTACCTTCGCCGGCGATCGTTTACCCGGCCAGCATTGAACTCAGCACCACGTAGTTACACTTGATGAACTTTAACTGACGTTTTTCCGTTTTCCTCAACTCTCTTTGCAGTGCCATCAACAGCCAATATGTCGATCGCCAGTGTTCACGGTCCCCAAATCGCCGACATCTGCAGTCCCCTGTCGTAAGTATTCAAATTTAGATGCCCAAAGATAGACACTCATCATCAAACACATGATTCATTTAGCTGGAAGCAGCGATTCCAACGATTTCGATTCGATTCGAATCGTTTCCATTTCCGTTTTTCGCATTCGCTAAATAACGCTGTAAACAATGTCAGGGTTGATTTACGGGGGGATACGAAAGGGGCGTGAGTGGTGGCTCATTCATGATTTTAGCAATCTTATCGAAGGGGCCAGGGTGCAGAGTACACAGCCGCAATATCACTCAATAAAATACAATACAATAGACAAAACACACCTGCAATTTGGCCACGACTTTGGCCCATTAATGAAGGGGGCCAGCACCTTCAGAGCTCAACAGTTCGGCGTCCGTCTGTGTTTGTATATAGCTATATATATTCGCATTCGTATCATTATCATTTGGCATTTTGGGGCCGCACAAAAGCAACAAAAGCCCGTCGCCATCGCTCACATGATCGGGCGAAAGTCGCGCCGTAGAGTCGACTCGGGTACAGTCGCCAGCCAATCATTACCCGCGTCCCCATCCCGCCTCATCACCCATCCCAAAAACCCATTCCGCTCTGAGTACCGGCACGCTGTTCATTATCATAATCACGCCCGACGCAAGGTCACGGTTGCCCGACGCCCGCCACAATTTGTCATGATTACTAACCAAGAATTCCCCCGCTTTTGTTTCTAATCTCTTCCAGGCATCACAATCTGGGTCTGTCTGCCTCGCTGCCAGATCTTGTTGGTAGTCCCCTGGAGATCAGCATGGACAATGTGCTGACCATCGAGGAGCTGCGCCAGCATATGGGCTCCTGCTTCACCTGCGGCGTCTCCTGGACGGATGACCATGTGTCCCTCGACTGCAGCGAATGCGGTGGCTACAGCCTGGAGCGTCCCTGTCCCCTTTGCGACGGCCAGTGCGGTGTCCAGTGGAAGCGTGATTTCGCCATGGTGAGTTGAAAGCGCCGAATGGAATCTCCCGTTGTCGAATTTTTCATAACTCGAACGTTGAGCCAAAATTTCCTGGATTTATGGGACGTCATAACTCAAATTTCTTTATCTCGGATCAATTGTTTGCCTTGCCAAGTCTTTCTGTTAGTCCCATTTTGATAGATACTAATTTTTTGCGAGTACAAAAAAAAGAATGAAACCGATAATGATTGAGAAAAGTTAATATACATAACAGCTTTGGTTGACACCTCTACGTTTTGTGTTCGATAAGTCCATGCAAATAGGCATTGAGGTTTTCTTTGGTAGATTATTTAAACAAATGTTCTAGGCTACAAGTTTTTTAAACAATCAACATAGATATTACGCCTTAAAATTCTCTATTAAATGAAACGTTTTCGAGTTATACAAATTCAACAGAATTTATGTTTGTTTACCAAACTAAACATTTCCTTTTGTTTCCATTACAGTCCCATGCCTGCAGTCAAGCTCGCTGGGTGGGCGTGTGCATCAGTTATCCGGAAGTGGTGACCGGAGTCCAGTTGCCCGTCGGCGGAGCCCCTGGAGCTGCCACCTCGTGTGCCGCCGCCGCTGCGAATCAACTGCGTTTGGCCCAAGAGCTGTGCTCCCGCCTGGAACAGCTGTCGACGTCAACGGCGAGCAAAAGCGGTCGCATGTAGAGCGAGGATCGCCACATAGTTCCTTGGACAGCCAGACTGCAAACACGCCTCCACACATCAGCCACACCCCCGCAACACACAGCCATTCATCCGGATAGCAGATAGCTGAAAGCTGTGGCAGAAACAGCTCCACCTCCACACAAAAACACACAGTCTCTCACCCGTAATTTAGGGCCTAATTACTAAGCTTTTTAGTTGTTAGTTTTTATTGTTGTGCAGCGTTGAGTCTTTATTTTTTCTTTATTTTTTTGCACACATTTTCTTTTGTTTTATGATTTCACTGGTTTCGTTTTCGTTTCGTTGTGTGACTATGCAAATGTTTAGCAGCTAAGTTAGTTCCTTTGTTTACCTTTTAATGGCACCATTTTGTTTGCACACATGACCTGTTCTATCCAGGAAAAAGACTTCTTTCTGCTTAGACTTAAGCCGAGTTTAGGCAATGCAGTGATAACGGTGATATTAGCCAGAAAGAATCGTGAACAAATAGTGAATTTATAATGATGTAGCAAATGTCTAACGATAGCTATAATGATGATGATCATTTTTGTATGACCCACACACACTAAACAACCCGTGTAATCGTGTAGAGATTGTTGTTAACAATTAGTTAGTTGTTGTTGCTTTTTGCCTTGTGTCAAAGCTTGTTCCAAGCGAGGAGTTCCGAGGGCACAGATCAAAGTTATCTTCGATGGTGCGAACGGAGGGCTCAGTGAGCGTAACAAAGAATCTTCCAAATTGCATAATGCTCAACAAAGTAACTACAGGATTGAACAGTCTCTCCAAAGGGGAAAGCGAAAGCGCGAAGAAGAAAGATACAAAATTAAGGATGTTAAAACACACGCACAAGGAAACAATTAAAAAGCATTACTCAAAAAGTTGAAGATTTTCTGTGAAAATCCATATGACATGTAGAAGTTTATACCTAATATATACACCTATATATTATATATCATATAAATCTGCATACAATATACATCTATATATAAATATATATTTTTAATGTAGAGATATGTTTTGTAAAAGACAAAGGCATATTTTTAAAATTAAATACTTAAACTATGCAAAAATCAAAACAAATGTATTCTAATTTATTCGAGGCTTCTTGTTGTCAAGTCGTATTATCAGATAGTCGCTGAATCGCGCTTCACTCAACCCGGTGGCCATTGTCCAATGACGAGAGAGGCACGCGGTGTAAGCCGGAATCTAATCAGCGTTTATGGTTACCAGGTGGGCTGGGCGACGCCGCTCCAAAGCCGACATCACCTGCTTCGCTAAGTGGTCGGTAAACACTCTTGAGGCTTCTGGGATTCTCGCATATAAATATATGACATCTTTCTCAGTCGTCGTAAAGCGGGATTTCACCTGCTCTCGGCGAATTTATCGCCCTTTGTTGCCCTGTAAATGGCACAGATTTCGGATTTCATCATTCTGTTCGGGATTCCTCGAAACGAGAAAACACCAACACTCAATTTGTATTTCTGGTTTGTATTTCTTTTAATCGCTTTCATTACGGTTATTGCCTTGGGTTTGTTTTGGTGTTCCACACTGCCGGTATTATCATTTCTGGGAATACATTTTATCGGTTTTTTCAAAGTTTTTCCGTTATCATTGAGCATTGCAGTAATTATAGATTTAATGACTTGTTTATGGATGTTAAACCGCTACTTTCTAGCTGATAATGGACAGGTTTTCACTTCCTTTACAAGAAAGATCTCATAGAAACATAATTTAAATTTTAAATAATAAGTATCATACTTTAATGAATCTGCTAAAAGATTGAAATTAACTAAAGGTTTTTTTTTAACCAGAGGTTAATTTCTTTTTTTAATTTTTAGATAGGTTTTGCCTTCCTATACATAATTGATCTTTAAGAAACATATTATGAATTTTTTATAAAAATAATCACATTCTATATGAACTTACTGGAGGGTTCAAATTAACCAAAGGTTACATTTTTTCAATATAATTTTAAAGATAAGATTTAGCCTGATTTTTGGCTAAACAGCAACATAGACTACGGCTCCGGCTTTTGCAACTCCGTCTACGTTGCCGGGCGTACCAAACTGGAGTGTTGAGTGAAACGAGACTACTTTCAGCTAAAGAGATATTTATTATTTTAAAATATTATATATATTAAAATCCATGATATAACTCACATTTCTGAGCTGGATCCAGTTCAGATTCTGGCGAAGCCTCTGCCAAGGGCATGTGAGCCTGCAGCTCCTCCAAGAGTTCGGCCAGCTCCTGGGAATCCTTGACAATGCTGCACAGCTCCTCCTGCTGGAAGTCTGGATTTATTTGTTTGCACAACAGGAATTGGCTAATAACGTTGCCTAAGTTGGATGGAGCAGTGCGTGAGGGAGCTGTGAAATAAATATAAATACTAAAATTCCTAATTACTTTTATATATTTCCTTTCTAACCATAATAATCCGTCATGTCCAGGGGCACTAGTTGGATCAAACGATGACTTTTGATCAACTCATGTTGAAATTGCTGGGTGAGATGAAAAAGCAGGGTCAAGTGCATCCTTTCGCTGGGACTGCCCACACAATGACGTGGCTGGGGAGTGATTAGATGAGCGGTGTGCTTGCAGGCATCCACACAGTTTCGCCTCAGCTTTCTGATCTTCTCCCTTAATTCAGGGGAATCCCGGGACTGTCCTATAAAGATGAGTAGCTCCCGGAATTGGGCCACATGACAGTTAATTTCTGTAATGAGCTGGGAAAGAAAAAAATACAAGTTAAGAAATGTATACCTATTTTAATGATTTAAACAAATTAAAATTGAAAAATAAATTAAATTCAAAATGGCTTAATGTAATCTAATGTTATAATGTTTTTCGACCGTCTGTTAAATTTAAAGGAAGGTTTAAACACCGATTTTTCCTAAAATTGCAAGGTTTTAACCCTACTTTAAATTTAACAATCGGTCGAGAAAATTACCCTAAATATATTTAATCCGAGAGTGGGTGGCCAACCCTTACCTTCTGTGGATCCCTCGAGGGTAGCAGCAATTGGGGCAGATAAATGGACAGCCGATGGGCGATTATCGTGGAATTCCTTATGGCCAAGGCCGTGCTGCTGGCCACACAGGCCGCTGGCTTCTCCTCCAGTACAGCCGATGAGGAGATGCCTCCTCCGTGGGCCATGTTTGGATGCAGACTGCAGCAGCAGCAGCAGTGGTTTTTAGACCTCGAATGGGTTCTATAAAAAGCCAGGACATGTTTTTACTGCCGTTTGCCTGTGTATTGAGTGCTGCTGCTGGTGGACTGTCTTATGTAAGCAAATTGCTGCTGCCCCGTCTCATTACCTTGTGTCAACAAGTCACGCCAGCTAAACAGCAACAAAAAAAAACATAGCCATGAGATAAAGCCAACCACAAACCCCCAACGTTCCACTTTCATCAGGTGCACACACCCATATGAAGCTATTATGAATGGAATAGAGAAGTCAGAATGATGGACTTTATGGGTTCGAATTCACAGCACAAAACACACACAAAATATAGGAATTATTAGCTTGACTGTGAGTTCGCGAAGATGTCTTCGACCAACTGATTCGGAGAATCTATATACAAGTCAACGGAATCATAGTCGATGGCATCTAGTTCCTCATAGATCATCATGTCATCGATGGCAAAGTTGGGTTCCTGGAAATGGAAAAATTATATCAACAGTATAATGATATATAGATCTTTCTTACTATTTTGGCGTACTTCCAGCACTCGACAGCCTTGTAGTTTTCACCCAGTCGCAGGTTGATTAGCGCCAGAAATCCCCATACATTGGGCACATGGGTCTCCAGTTGGGTGCAAATGGCAAAGTATTTCAGAGCCATCTCCAATTCGTTTAGTTTATAGTAGGATTTGCCTAGCATATAGCTGGCCACAAGGGAAATCAGGTTGCCAGCGAATGGCACGCTCAAAGCTTCAATGCATTTCTGGTAGTTGCCCAACTCATATGATATATATCCCAGTCGCAGTCTGCTGACCTCGAAGGAATCGCGTTCGTTATCCTCGGCAGGGGGCAAGGTCAGGCAGCACTCATAGTATAAGGCAGCCTCCTCTAGATTACCTCGATGGAACTCCACATTACCATTGATCTGGGCATTCATGGCGGCCTGTAATATAATTTTGGGTTATTTATTGAATTATTATTTATTGATTTTACATTATTTAAGATCAATTTTAATTTGATATGCGGTCAGGTAAATTTGAATTGGTCAAAAATAGTATTTCATGTAAAAACGATATGGGTTTTGCATGGCCATATTGATTTTACGGGAACATGCTTTTTTTTGTGGGAGATAAAAGGAAAACAACCCACCTCTTTATCAGCCTCCTCTTCTTCACCAAACTCAAAACTCTGCAACTCAAAGTCCTCATCCAGTTGATTGAGCATCAGCATCAGCTGTGTATTGATCATATATCGATCGGCATCATCGAACAGATGTTCCACGGCGGCAAAGACGACCTGGGCGAACTCGTAGAGACCCAGACGCACAAAGGTCCTGAAGACTTCGAAGAACAGGGTTCCCCGAACCGAGTCCAAGGTTGTAGTCAGGGTTAGGAAAAGACCCCAAAGGCTGTGCGGAGCATGGGAGGAGGAGTTGACCCGGTTGTGGCTATTCTGATCTGCAAATCGCCAGAGGGCAAAGGCGCAGCCCGGTTCGTATTTGAACCTTTTATAGTAACAGTACAGCAGGATCCAGCCATCCTGTTGCCGAGGATTCCGCTCAGCATAGTTCGTAATGCTCTTCAAAAGACACTCCGTACAGTCGGGCGAGGTTTCCGGATTGTTTCGTGTGTCCACGTAGTTGATGTACAATTTAATCCAGCCCCTATTTTGGAGAGATAGTGTCAATTTTGGTTTGGAATATCAATAAGTTACTGCCTACGCAAAATAGTCGTGGGTGTCCGCCAGGTGATTAAAATTAAAGTACAATTTGGCCTTTTCCAGATCGCCACGTTCCATGTACGCGATAAGCATGTAGAACCAGAAGCGTTCGTCACTGGGATACTCGGTGGTGGCCTATAAATGGAAAGAAGAAATTCAAGAAATCCTTTATCATTTGAACTATTCCTGAAATTTCTTTGAGTACATTTAAGATATTTTTAAACATATTGCAATCGGTACAAACGCGTTATGTTGAATCGACTTTATCAATATCAATTAGATAACATACCCTAACAACAAAAATGATTAATTGTTTACTTCCGAATTTCGTTCATTTATAACCGATATACCTACTACCGGAAAAGGTGCAAGTCTCACAGTTATTCATTATTTACAATCTAATCAAATTAGCGTACAATTTATGTGAATCACTTACAGGTTTAGATCAAGTCTAATTCATTTCCGTTTATATCACATGAAAATACAGGTATTCTAACGGAAATGTAAATGTATTCAGGTGATTATTTCATTTTATATGAATGTGTCATATTACTTAATGTGGGTTAATTACTTTGTAACTAATATTCAATTGTTTGAATTAACTAAAAACTACATTGTTCACAAACCTTTTGAAGTTACTGATTCTATTTTTAGCCAAGTTGTCACTCGTCAATAGCAAGATCTTATAAGAAAGGAAAATAAGTACTTGGAAATGAGTTACTAAGTCTGGCGCTTAGTTTTTTATAGAGAAAGTTACTAATAGCTGGACTGGTCACTCAATGTACCCAAACCTAATCAGTGAATCACTTTTCAATGAATCAAATACTGACCTTCTCAAGCAGAAGATTAGCAAGGCTATCATCTTTCACTAAGTGGAGCAGTTTGATGGTGTTCAAGTAGTCGATGATCCGCTCTGTTTGGAGTCGCTTATGGACCGAATAATTCTCAAAGCCCTCGTTCTCGATCTGCTCCACCATATTGTGAATCCGGGGCTCTAAGTCATTGTAGGCAAAAGCGCAGAGGTTCTGGGGATAAGTAAATCGGTTAGAAACAAGTGGTTAATATCAAAAGTTAACTAACCGCAAACTCTACGCTAGAGGATGTGGGAGTCCTCGTATTATAGACACTGCCCACCAACTTCATCAGGATATTGGTCAGGTTTTGAACAGCACAGCAGAAATGCTGCTTCTTATCCTCGATCTTCATCACCTTCTTGTCGATAATAAATGCAATGCAATCCCGGATGAACTTGTCGAATCGGGCATATGATTCCATTTGGATCTCGGCCAGTGTTAAGACCTTTGGGGAACTGTAAGGACGATCGCAGAAGAGCAGTCGATTCTGCCGAACAAAGCTGTCACGAAACACCTTCAGCTCCTTGTAGATCTCACCAATTGGCGCCAGCAGACACAACTTTATGATGGCAAATGTGGGCATCAGTCGTTGGCGCTCCAAGCCCTTTCCACTAACTATGCTGCTCATCGGCTTTTTGGCCTTAATTTTTCCCAGATAATCCAGTTGCACAGCGAATCTCATGTTTTGAACTGTTTAAATAAATATAAATTAAGAAATAGTGCCTTGATAAAGAAAACCGACCTAGACCCAAAAAATTGATATGAAACATTTAGGGTGTTCAATTGCGTTGCAAACGTTGTAAAGTGTAAAAGTGTAAGGCAGTTCCAACAACAATTTCTATACAAAAAAATTTTCAAAAGTAGGCCTTTAAAACTATGTTGTATATAAATTGTTGTTGGAATTGATATACACTTTTACACTTTACAAAGTTTGCAAAGCAATTGAACACCCTAATTATTTAATATCAATTTTGTTTTGATATGTGGTCACGTAAATTTGACCTGGTTGAAAAGGTTATTTCATGTAAAAACGAAATAGGTTACATGGCCATATCGATTTTACAGTTAAATTCTTTTTTTTGTGTGTAATTATAAAAGTTTAAACGGTCTAAGAGATGTATTCGATTTTGTTATCTTAACGTTGTGGAGATCTTAACGATATTACCAATAAAATTTTCAATAGTATTATATGATCGCAAAAGCATCCTTAACAATCCTTAACTTGTACAAAAATACATCACACCCATTACACTGAAGTTTCTTTAGACTTGAACTTACCCCCCGGAAAGGCCATTATAGATGGATCAAGAACGCCCTGGAAAACTTTCTGTGGCTTGGCGGCCCCAAAAGTTTGAAACACCTCCACTGCAATAACATACTGCTGACAGGTGATGACAAAGGACAGGATATCGGCCATCTTTTGGGTCAGGATAAAGCGGTGAAAGGAGTTGCAGACGAGAGCCTCATCGATTCCAATGTCGATTTCCTCAAAGTCCACCGTCATGCCCTCGGTGGTGAATAGTTCGGAGAAGAGTCGATGCATTTCCACCTCCATGGCCGACTTTAACCCAGTCACATGCCAAGGATACACGCTGCGTCGGAAGGACTCGAAGACATGATGATTGTCCTGCATGCTGATTACCTTCCTCTCAAAATTCCCGAATTCACAGAGCGGTATAAACGTATAGTCATTTCGATCACTCGGCAGCCGGGAGCGAAAACTGACCCGTACCCACAGGGAGTCCTGGTCCAAAACGTACTCCTCCTTCAGGTTGTAGATGCTCTCAAATGTCACGAAGGCCATGTTGGTGAAGGTGAGCTTCTTGGCGATGGGCAGCAGGGTGTAGAGATGCCATTCCGTGTGGACGGTTGTGCGCAGATCGTTGGGAACATCCGGCATGGGATAGAGGAACAACTGTTCAACTATCATGCTGCGCCGGTGGCCAAACAACTTGATCACATCCAGGTAGCCCACACAAAGTAGAACCAACTTTTCCGTCTCCCTGGCCACGAACTCATCATCTCCGTTCGTTGTCGTCCTGGATATGGCCAAATCGGAGTCGGAATCCGCCTCCAGATTATCATTCGCCTCCGCCTCCTCCTCTAACATTTCATATTCCACTTCAAAGACTGGTTTAGGCGGAAATACACGCATGTACAGTTGAATCAGGAGAGGATTATCCGCCGCATGATTGATCCTGTCCACATTGTCCTGCTGGAAGATCAGTGTGAACGTGGGCTTCCCGTAGAATTCCGCCTGTACTATGATCCCATCCGTGTTGTAGTGCTCATCGCATTTGACGATCAAACTGCCTCCTTGGGTAATGTGAATCTCCATCGGATGCTTCGTTTCCGGCAGATTCGCTATGTTGGCCAGCTGGATGTAGAGGAAGACATTCGGTGGCTGCGGGTGGTTACCGAGGTCCTCCTCCTTTTTATCCGCCGCCCCCTTCTTTGCCCTTTTCGGCGGCATTTTTCATTTAAACTTTTGGTTTGTGTTTATTTTTGAATTGTAACGGAAAAATCGTTGGCAACAATTTCCAGGGCTGAATACTTACATTTTTAGCGGTAATAAAAATAATCTAGGGAATACCCAAATTTGTTTAAGGACAACCTGTCTGTGTAAATGTAATGCTTAAGCTAAACAGAAGTTCATACATATTTGAAATGTAAAACTTAATGCACTTTTCAAATATTTAAAATGTTTTAAAATATATGGATAAAAAATACCCGAAAATGTATTTCGTGGTATGTTTGTTGGTATTTTTTACTCGCCAGCCCTGGCGTCGCAAACAGCTGTTCGCCACACGTGAAGTGCGGGAATAAACATTGAATTGGACGAAATCGGAGCGTAATTATGCAACAAATTCTGTGAGAAAAGTGCCGAAAACTGCGATAATTTAATGTCATTTGCGTGGAACGTGTACACCTAGCTGCAATTCCTCAAAATGTATCGCTTGTTGAGTGCAAACCGGGCGGCAGCCGTGCAAAAAGCACTGCGGGTTCCGCCCACCGCCCATCCAACAACAACAACAGTGTGCTGCGGCTGCGGCAGCGGATTTGCGACCTCAAATTTCGTGCATTATCAGCAGTATTATCAAATGCTATACCGCCAAACGCCGGCAGGTGAGTAATGATAAAGGAAAGTGCTAAAAAGTAGTTAAATCTAATGCAACATGTGCTTTTCCAATTGCAGTGACAACTACAACAACAACACGCACACAGACAACAACACCCACACAGGCAGATGCACTGGCCCAGGCGAAAAAAAAGCGATTGCGCAAGCCGCGCTATGCGAAATATGTGGAACTCCTGGAGGGTAGGTTCTAGCCGGGATTGGGACTAGTTTCCTAGATAAACAAATCCTCTATTTTCTTTTCTAGTCACAGAACAAGCCATCAGCGAGCGGAGGTCACGGGTGAAGCGATTGAAGTCGAAAAAGCTGGCCGACTTTATACAGAAAGCCCAGCAGCAAATCCTGGAACGACGTGCTCGAGAGGATCGCAAGGATAAGAAAACCAAGGGTATATTAGACCTAGCACAGAGGCAACCTGTGGAGTATCAGAAAATCGATATGGAGGCGTTGGATGGTTCTGTTTTGGAGTCTGGCATATACGATGATCGACCCATGCTCTTTTTCGGCAAGGATGAGTACACCAAACAGGTGATTGCGAATCCCGACGAGGTGCAAAATATACTCAAGAGCTTTCACAACTTTCGGGATATCATCGAGAGCATGGGAAATGATCAGCACGAAGCGGATTTCGGGTAGGTCAAGGATTGGCAGAGATTTCTATAGAGAAAACTCCCTAGAAATAATGATACACACAACAAAAAATTGGTAAAATCAACTGTTGTAATTGTCAAACAGTCCCCAACCACAAATATGGTCAATTCTACTAATTAAATGGTTACTTTCACAACAACAAATACACACAATAAACAAAGACACACACCCAAAGCAAAAACAAAATACACGTAACTATTTTTTATATGTCAATTTTTCCAATCACATATTTTTGTGTGTAATCAAGCCTATATAATAGGATTAATACATTTCCCCTCAATTTTTTCTATAAAATTGAATAAAATTCCTTTTTCAATCATACAGGCTAAGTACTTCCAAGGTGCTTCCTGAAGAAGCCGACGTCTTGGATCCTTTCGAAGCCATCGAACCCTACATTAATCCCCTGGACAAAAGTAAGCCCGCGGTGACATCGGTAGCCATGCCAAACGCCAATGCGGTTACAGCCAAGTCCAAGAAACGGTGAGCATCGGAAGATTTTATAACCAGGATTCCTATACTAAAATTTTCCCCTGCAGATTCAAGTCCAAGGTTCACGTGAACGAGGAGCAAGAGCGTCTGGCCAAGCAGCGGGCACTGCACCTGAACCTGAATACCTACCTAAATGTGTGTGTTTCGGCCAACATGCTCAATCGCGCCCTCTCCACCATTATCGCTTATCGCGGCAGGGTGAGGAAGAGTACTTTGCCCCATTTGTCCGAAGGCCTCATCACCATCGATCTGTACAATATCCTTCTGCACGGTTACGCCGCCAAGGGATCCTTTGATCGCTCCCAGGAGCTCTTCAAACTCATCGAGGAGGATGGCCTGGCGTTCAATGAGCAAAGCTACGCCGCCGTCTTTGAATGCTTGGGACGCCTGGAACCCGATGAACAGAACCAACAGTTCACTTCCAAGTACATTGAGCAAGCTGAAAAGGATGGTTTCAGTTTAAATCAAATAATGGATAAATCCAAGTTCGTGGCCGATCAGCGGGACATTGCCTTGGATGCCATTCGACGACTGCGTCCGGATTTCAAACCTGTCTATGTGCCACCGCAACTGGGTTACGATAATGAGCTGCTGAATCATCTCAACAAACATGTCCTACCTGTTGGAGCAAAGGAAAAGCCGGGAAAGGAGGAAGTGGACTATGCCATAATGAACTCCAAGCGAGGCTACACCACAGCTCAATTGGAACAGCTCGCTCGGGAGCAGCTTAAAATAGAGCTGGACGGTAGCATTACAATCAAGTCAATTGAGAAATCAAAGGAGTTTGCAAATTCCGAGAAATGCGTAAGTTGGAAATAAATATTATATATAATTTCTTAATACTAATTATGTATATACAATAATTTTTAGCGCGAACGTCTTAAAGAATTGGAGGAAACTTGGCGCAAACAAATTTCATCGGCCATTGTGCGGGATCTCAACACTCTGCGAGCTCAAGTGCGCTTCAAACCACATGGCTTCATGAACTACTACACATATCTAAAGACCCTGGATACCTCGCACTTTGCCGACATTTTGATCAAGGAACTTTACAAGCTGGCCGAGGGCTCGGAAACCTTCAGTCCAACGGTGGGTCAGCTGTACAAAGAACTCGGCCAGAAGGTGCAGCAGCGATACCAAATTGAGCAGAAGAAACACAACGGCACGCTGGAGAAGATTGGCGAGATATACAGCTCGTACTGCGAACTGTGGGACAGCGGAAAGTCGCAGGATAACACGCGGCAGGCGTGGCAGCGCCTTGTGCACGATCAGCGAGAGAGTGGACCCAGCATGGACCTGCCGGAGGTGCCGTGGCCATCGAATGTCCTGACTGGCGTGGGTCGCTTCTTGTACAACATTCTGATGCGGGACATCAAGATCGACGCTCATGTGATGCGGCAAAAGAGCAAAGCCAAAGCGGCTACTCAGCCTCAAAACCTATTGCCCGCCTTCTACACTCTTTTCCGCAATCAGGGGCGTTTTGTTAAGGAGGAAGTCAAGCCACATCCGGTGCTCTCGAGATTATTCCGAGCCTCACGGCAGCAGACACTCACCTTCGACTCAAATCTGGTGCCCATGCTGTGCCCTCCGCAGCCGTGGAGTACACCACACAATGGTGGCTACCTGCTCAACAAGTCTGAACTGATACGCCTGCCTCACCAAGCCATCCAGCAGTGGGATCGGATCAGCGCTTCCAACCCACAGCACCTTTATCCTGCCTTGGATTCTCTGAATCAGTTGGCCAGTGTCCCTTGGCGGGTGAACACGCAGCTGTTGGATGTGATCATTGAGGTCTTTCAGAATGGTGGTGATGCGAAGCTGGATGTCCCTCAGCCACCCAGTTCCCTGCCTCCGCTGCCGACGCTGCCAGCCAAAGATGCCGAGGGCAATGCTGCCTCCAATGCGGATCGTGCTAAGCAATTCCGGGACAAACTGGGTCATCAAAGGAAGCAGGCCGAGATGTACAGCTTGTGGTGCGATGCTCTCTATAGGTTGTCACTGGCACAGCATGTAATTATTGTTTAACTATTATTTATTTCCTTTATAATAATATTTCCAATTAATTTTTAGTACCGCGATAAAGTCTTCTGGCTGCCACACAACATGGACTTCCGTGGACGCGTCTATCCCGTACCACCGCATCTGAATCACCTGGGTTCTGATTTGGCTCGATCTATGCTTATTTTCGACCAGGCGCAGCCCCTGGGCGTCGATGGTTTCAGTTGGCTCAAGCTGCACTGCATCAATCTGACTGGGCTGAAGAAACGCGACTCGGTGAGGGAACGTCTCCTGTACGCGGAAGAGATTATGCCAGATATTCTGGACTCTGCGGACAATCCACTCACAGGACGAATGTGGTGGGCCAAATCAGATGAGCCTTGGCAAACTCTGGGCTGCTGCATGGAAATCGCCAATGTGCATCGCTCTCCGGATCCCGCCGCCTACCTGAGTCGCTTTCCCATCCACCAGGATGGATCGTGCAATGGATTGCAGCATTATGCCGCCCTGGGAAGGGATGAAGCGGGAGCTTGTAGTGTTAACCTGGCACCATCGGCCATTCCGCAGGATGTTTACAGTGCAGTGGCCACCTTGGTAGAGAGGAGTAGGAAAACCGATGCCCAGAATGGACTACATGTGGCTGAAGCACTCGCAGGATTCGTTCGTCGCAAGGTCATCAAACAAACAGTGATGACTACAGTTTACGGAGTGACCCGCTATGGAGCAAGACTGCAGATAGCCCGCCAGCTGAAAGACATTGACGAGTTCCCCAAGGACTGGGTGTGGCCGGCGTCCACATATCTGACCACCAAGACATTCGAGAGCCTGCGAGAAATGTTCACGTCGACGAGAGAGATCCAGGATTGGTTTACGGAGTGTGCCCGACTTATTTCTGGAGTGTGTAGCCAGAATGTAGAGTGGGTAACGCCACTGGGACTGCCGGTGGTGCAGCCCTACAATCGTCAGGAGATGAAGCACTCCCCGCGTGCCGGATTCAAGGTGTCTGCCAACATGCCGATGGACATGTACGAACGACCCAACATCCTTAAGCAGAAAAATGCCTTCCCGCCGAACTTTATCCATTCGCTGGATTCCTCGCACATGATGCTCACCTCGCTGCACTGCGAACGGCAGGGCATCACCTTCGTTTCGGTACACGACTGTTTCTGGACCCACGCCAACACCGTGCCGGAGCTGAATCGGATGTGTCGGGAGCAGTTTGTTGCCCTGCACTCGCAGCCCATTCTCGAGCAGCTCTCCCAGTTTATGCGGCAGACCTACAGTTTCAAGGATAAGTGAGTGTTAATAACATATATATCAAGTTTATTTTTATATAATAAATATTAATTTCCCCCAGCGACTTTACGAACGACGGTTCCGTCGAGGATCTGTCCAAGCGTCAGCTGAACCGAACTGTAAAGCAGCTGCCGCAAAAGGGAGATTTTGACCTGCGCAACGTACTCGACTCTGTGTACTTCTTCAGTTAGGAATTACGACATACAGTGCCTAATCATAGTCATTAGTTCTATTTAATATACCAGTTAAATTTGTTAAACAATTCGGCTTTCAATACCAAAAAAACAAAAAATGCAAAAACAGAAGCTACCAAAGGCGAATGGTGAAGAGACGCCAAATGTGATTTTGTAACCTTTAATTACATAAAATTGATTAAAATGCTTTTAAAAAAACAGTTTTTTGTAATTATTGCCTAGTGGGAGTAGTAGACAGACAATAAAAACGAAAATATATAGAAAGTACGAGGAATATTTACTTAATACTAGACATTACCAACAAGACCGGAAAAACGTCTGCTTTCATTCGGTGATCGATTTTGTTTTCCATTTTATTTCAATGCCATTTAATTTTTATGTGTATTGCTACCTCAAAAGTTTTTCATAGCGTTTTGGGTCAGAGCTACTTGAACATGTGTGGTTGTTTATCTGCGCCATTAAACGATTGTTTAATTAAATTTGGCTACTACATTGTAGATACTACCTGCTATGTGTGTGCATGAATTCATGTGCAAAAACTTAGTAGTATGTGAATTTATCTTGCGCTCATTTCTATTTAAAATTAAATATTTTTTGAGTGGAACAACCACATTGCGTTTTATTTTGTTTATAAATATTGTATTTATTTTTACACGCTGTTCGGACTTTTTAAATATTTTTCCCATATTTATTTCCCTTTGAATTTTATGTTTGTTTGTTTTGGGAGACTTAATTTGTAGCAATTACACTTGATTGTTTCTAATTTTTAGAAACGCTTTTTTGTCCGGGAGAACATAAGGAATCCATTGATTTATGGCCACTTCCCGATTTGGTCGGTTCCGACCGCTTTCTGCTGCTTTCAGTTTAACTCACTCAATATTCTGAGAATGTGCATCATTTTATTTGTTTAAATAAATAATTGCCTTAGTGAATTTGATAGAAATGGCCTCTATTTATTTTATTAAGTATCTATGTATGGCTCTAGATGAGAGGCATTTTTTTAATTGGTTATTAATTAGGCTATTTATTTTATTAGTTTAAAAAAATTAAATTGTCTTTCTCTAAACGGAAGTTTTGAACCCATCTGATCGTTTGATCTACGACCTATTCCCGTTTTCAAGATTTTATGAAATTATACATTAGATTCATAAGTTGTTTAAAAACAACTGCTTGGAAAATCCAAAACTAGTACCCATTAAATTTAATTTTTTTTTTTATATTTTGATATTTTGATTTACTGAAATTAATACTTATAAATATTAAGGAATGGAATATTATGATTTGCGACCTCTTTGCTCCACTTTCGTTTTCACTCACTCACTCGGGTTTTGAGTGGATGTTCATCGTAGCACGCCCACGCTCGGGTTCACTCCCCCCTTTTACATGCGCCCACTTTAGCTTTAGCTACTGGTACTATCTCTGCCACTGCCGCTGCTTCTGCCTCTGCTACCGGCGACCGGCGGCGTTGGCGTCGGCGTCGACTTTCTTTGGCTGCTTCGCTCTCGTTTTTTTTTTTTTCGGCTGGCCGCTCGCTTCCGACTTGCCGCTCAGTCTGAAAAGTTCATGTGACGCGTCGAGAACGCTGCGATTTCGAGTCCGCTTACCGATTTCTGATTGCCGAGGCAAACAGCGCGCTCTAGGGCAATTCCTTTGGCATCTGCAATCGCAATCGCATCTCTTGCACCTGTTCCGCCGCCCAGGTGGAGGTGGATCGCTCAGGTAACGAGAGCAGCGGCCTGATTGGCTTTTTATCACCGCATATCACACAAATCCATGGGATCGAGATGATCCCAAAAGGGGGTGGGCGGTGTAACCACAAAGTGTAGTGCAAATTAATTTCAGCAAAACGAATATACATATGTATGTTAAAAGACACTAAGCAGCCACCAAACAAAATACACTAAAAAAAGTGAAAAAAAACCTTTTTAATTTGGTAAAAGTTTGTGCAAAAAAAACCTATAGAAATATTTTGCATATTATTTTAAATGGATTGATTGTTTAAAAAACAGGTGCCGTGCTTAAGTTTTGAAAGTAAAATAAGTATTAAACCAATTTATAGAACTATTCATTTAAAAACAGAATAAATATATTTTACAAATAGTATAAAATAAAGAATACCTACAAAGATCAACCTCAAACAAATATCTCTTAAATTTTCCTCTGAACACACAACAATTTTTGCTTTTCCCCGCAAACTTATGCACTTTTTTGCGGTGATTTTGTTATAGTGACTCTCAGCTTTTCTTATTTTCCCAGCGCTATATCTTTTCGGGGTTTCGTGTGTTTTGTTGTGCCTTTTGTTCGGGTAATTGCAAGTGAATTGTGCGAGTTGCAATTGACAAATGACCGTTCATAAACGAATAAAAGCGCTATCTGGGTGTCGGCCTTATCGCGCCAGAATATCGCATTAAAACTAATTCAATTACTGGCAATGTGAGCAGGGGCATGCAAATTAGAAGGAACGCTCCCAATAACAACAAAAATCCACAGCAGCAGAAGCAGAAGCGGTTGCTTACATATATGCAAACGCATATATAGATAAACGCACACACACGGAACCACATTGTAATTGGGACAATGTTTCGGGGAAGGATTGCAGGGGGGCGGTGATGGCGATGGCGATGGTGGTGAAAAGTTGGAACTTAGTTTTCTGTTCGTGATAATGTCATAATTGACGGTCTGTGGACGGGTTTGATTGAATTTCCAGGGGAAATTGAGTTGCAAATGAGTTTTGCCAGCAAGTGACGAAATTATCGCACGGCCTTTGATAAAAATAAAAAATAGATAAGGCCTCGACACGATTTCAATTTAAAGCATTTGAAATGGAAATTAACCGTTTGATGGGTTGTAGAACCAACTGCAGTTCGATAACAATTTATTTATCACTTTTGAGTAATCACGGTGCGTATACGTAATATTTTAAAAATTGGATAAAAATCAATTATACCTTCTTTATTTTTATCAAATTTAATCAACTGTCTATTAAATTTAACAAGTTTTATTGGTCTGTTATGTACAAACAAATATAATATTGCTCTAAAAGTACGGTTTTTACATTTTAATAATCTTTAATAATCACGTTCGTTTTGTAACAACCCTTGCGTATACGTAATATGCAAGCATCTCCAAATGAATTTAAAGGACTTCCTTCTCCTTTGTAAAACTTTTATAAGGTTTTAGAAGTGAAAACAAAACTAAACTTTAATTAAAAAAGGGTTAAAAATTAGTTTATTTTCCGTTTTTTTTTTAATAACCCAATTAGTTTTCAGTTTAAGCACCGCTTGTTCGTATATGCAATATCCGAGAACATCCATTAGCAGGGGAATACAAGGACAACTTTTACCAGTTAATACCAACCGAAAGAGGCTCGACACGATTTCAATTAAAAACAGTTAACAATCGCCATGAATAGTGAAATGTTTTTTTATGGGCCAATCGTGCGTATGCGTAATATGTGTGTGGGCCATAAGTTGCGGGCGTTAAAGTGTTCAAGTCCCGCCTCATATAATTCCGCCACGCCCCCCGGAGACCGCCTTCCTCTTGCGACGCCTTGTAGGCCATATTTTTCCGGTGTGCGAGCATCGCATTGTATTTGGGATTTAATGGAAAAAGTGTGTCCGTACATCAAATGGGTTATTATCCATTTTTGCCACACTGGAAATGGCCATTTAAATTTATTGTCGTTGCCTGCCTTGTGGCGTGCGGCACGATGTTGCAGGATAAAATGCTTAAATCATCGTGATGGTGATGCATACGTAAATGTTATGTGCTCTTATATTGAGTGCCAACTGGTTGGTTGGTTTACTTATAGTTGGGGTTTTTATTTTATTTAGTTAGAGTTATGACTTTGTTGGCCTGAGAATTACCGCACCCGAAGTAGTAAAACCAGATAGTAAGTGAGATAAATCCAATGCTGACGCAAACATAAACATCTTGAAATTCCAACAAAATATTTATTCAAGAAAACTACATTTTATGAATATATTTTTGGGAATATTTCCGAGAGGAATCCCTCTGTAATCTAAGTTATTGAGCAATATTTTTGCGAATGTCCGAGGCTGTCAATATCAGTTTCCTTGCACTTTTCCCCACCATCATTTATCAGAACCACTAAGGTTGAGTCATTTATAATGCGTACCCGTACATATGAATTTATGCCGTGACTCAGCAGAGTATTTTGCTCGCAGCGCACATTATTATTTATTGCATATTTAATAGGTACGCGTAGTCCCGATAATTCCCCTCCAATGTCAGCGAGAGCGAAGGAAGGATTTTCAGATTTCCAGAGGCGCGAACAGAGCAGCCGACACATTTAGTAGTGCCGCGGGCGGGGAGATAAGAAGTCAGTCAACTGCAAGCCCGCCAGCTGTCAACCTAACCGCTTACCGCTCATCGTCTGTCACTTCTCCACCCCCAATTCTCCCGCTTTACCCCCTCCAAACATCAACCCACTCCACCCTCGCGTGAGCTGTGACCATTATCGGGCAGGGGAAGTCAAATCAAGTCAAGTGCGAGTGCAGGCAGAGATTATGCTATTTTGGCAGCTCACTTTTTCGGCCACCCAGAAGGCACTCACAAAAATATGGTGATAAAAATGGTACTTTATGGCAAATAATATTTGAGAAATATTTGGAAAAAGTTTAGTTTAGATATTTAATACCACAATCATCATAGGAGGATTTAAGGTTTGCTTGCCTTTAATATATCATTAAATGCAATTTCTTATAACAATATTTAAAAAAAAAAACAAAAAAGTGAAATAAAATTGTTTGTTCTTGGAAAAATGCTCATATTTTTATGTTATAGGTTTTTTGTTATCATCAATTACATATTTACTAATTCTTTTTTCTTAAAAATAAATTACACTGTGCAGCATTTTTAGTGCTTTTTAAATTTACCTCGGTGGATGCTATATTTTTGGATTCGTTACGAATTCCCAAGTTAAACTGCGTTTTCCAAAAAGTTCCCCGACGCAAGGATTCTTACCAAAAGGACCTCAAAGTTCGAAAAATGCTGAAATTGGCCAACTTTGCGGAGCTTCAGCATTTTTCGAACTTTGAGGTCCTTTTGCTAAGAATCCTTGCGTCGGGGAACTCTTTGGAAAACGCAGTATAACTTGGAAATTCGTAACGAATCCAAAAATAAAGCATTCATCGAGGTTAATTTTTGATGCTGCATAGTGTTATTT